ATGTTTACTCACCCTTAAAAGCATTGCTTTGAATTCCTTATCTGACAAGTTGCTGTCTTTCATTTTTTTGTAGTTCAATTTCTAATGATTTTTTTCTTTTGGTTTTGCTTCTTTGTCTTCTAATTTTAGTTGTCTGGTAGCTCTAGCCTGCTGAAAGATAATTGGATGTATATGCAGCTCATTGTATATGAAATAAGGCTACTGTGCCTCCCAGACTATTTTGTTGTGTGTCGCCTCTTGCCTGCTGTGGATCCTGGAGGATTGACTACTGGGGCTGATATCAGTGTTTCCTGGTATGTGCTGTTGCTAGATCATGTGGGCCCACTGGAGCTGTGTTCCCAGCTTGTCGCAGGTGCCACCTATATTTGTATAGCTCAGGCCCTGTTGAAGCCTTGTGCCTTTACCTTGGGCAGATAAATCACACAATAATTTTTGAGACCAGGCTTTATGCCTACCTTGTGGGCAGCTGGGTTGCACAGGCCTCTCTAGTTCCCCAGCATTTTGCAGGTTTTATAGGCAACTAAATTGCACAGTTTCTTTGGAGACAACACTGTATGCCTATTTTGTTGACAGCTGAGTCACACAGGCATCTCTGTTGCCCCAGCACCTCACAGGTTTCATGGGCAGCTGGTTCACTCCAGTCTCTCTCAGGCTTCAGCTTTCCAAAACTCTTGTGGGTCACTGGGTTTCACAGGCCTCTGTGGAGCCCCAGGTCTTACTGCTGATGACTGGGAAGTGTTGCTGCCCCATTGGTGTAAACTCCTGCTCAGCCTTTGTTGTAGTTTTTGGAGCTGGGTCTCGGCTGCTGGTCTATGCTTCTATTGACTGGGGATGGATGTCTGCTATCCAACCTTTGTTGATGGGGGTATATCTTGACTCTGATTGAGCTGCTACATCTGTGGGAGAAGTTGCTGGTCTCCTAGCTACTTTTGGCTTCTGCAACTAGCACCTTGGCAGCTCCACTACTGTGCACTGGTCTGTGTTGAAACAGACCAGTGGTGCCAGGTGCTGGTGGGCTCAGATTGGTGAGCCCTATCCACTCCACTCCCACTGCATTATCCCAGAAAGGACCCAAAATGATTCAAAATCATCAGACCTTTCCATGCTCAGAAAGAGTGCCTTGAAGGTCCACTTATTGCAGTAACCAGCTGCTCCACATCCACAGGACAGTACGTTCTGCTCCACATCTCTGCATTGTACAAGTTTTGTCATCCATCTTCACATTTACTCACACTCTCTCACACACTAATTTAGTCTCTCACATACTCACCCTCCCTCCAGACCTGCCCACCGCCATCTTTAGAGCTCTTATTTCTTAAGGAAGAAGAATTACGTGTTGCACTGGGAAAATTGCTGTTTTTATGTTGAATGATTCGGGGATTATTATAGAAAGTTTATCACTACTTAGAAAAATATCAAAGAACAAGAAAGAAAGAGGTGATGATCTGAAAATTGGTTTACAACTTTATTATTTACCATTGCTGACCCTCTTGCTATATTATGTTTACTCCTAGCCTTTGGACCAGGTCTAATAAATGGCCTCATAAAAAAAAGTCAAGTCAACAATTTGACTAGTCAGAAAAACCAGGGAAAATGACCTGGGCCCTGAGGCTAAGATGATTAAATTCCATTCTTAACTAGGCCTTTTGGCTAAGGTGAGTAAATAACTCAATTTTTATCATCAATGAAACTTCCTCAATATATTTCCAATAATAGGTAAATTATTTCTAGAAGTAAAATAATTTTGCCTAAGTTTATAGTTGCCCCAAGTATTGGAAGGCTATTGCAGTTTTTGAGTACCATAACTACAGGCATTTGCAGGTATTTGTGAGCTCAAATAATGCTAATTTTGACTTCTGTAATCACTGTCATGCCCTGTATTGTATGGGTTGTTAGAAAAAAAGGTAAATAAAGAGAATGAGGCTCTTGTTTTTAAAATCAGATGAGCAAAAAGAATCTTTACTGCTGATCTGTGCAGAAACTATACCCTCCACAGTTTGCTGACCAAGCATAAAAAATTCCTTTACAATATGCCTGTGCATCTCTGGTTATCTCACTGAAACATTATAACAGAGTTTGTATAAAAAATATCTGGACTCTCCAAAATCATAAATACTAATTTGTAAGTTTTGGTAATTTAAAATGTCATGCTAAAAAAAAAAATGTTTTATTTTAATTATATTATAGTCAGATACACAACCACGTTGTTTTATGTTTTGAAATTTACAGACAGTCATTTGATTTATGCTGGTGCTTTTGGAAATATGTTTTACCTTTCTTGGTGGCTTGTAGTTTTAGTTACTCAGCGTCTTGGAATGCAGCCCTGGTGTTTTGCATAAGAGGATTTTCAGAAGTTGAGATATATCCTGGTTGTAAATGAGCCTCAATTTGCATTTCTTTGCCTCACTAGGAAAAGGCTGAATCTTCAAGGCAGAGTGGGCTTCTGCTTTCCCCTACAGCTCTGAAAAGGAGCACACTAGCTGCCATCATATTTTTCTGCAACTCAGGAAAAATTGAGTGCTCTCCAAATCTTGGTTGTCTCCACATAGTTTCAGCCCACTCTGTCCTTTCTCTACCATAGTTCTCAGGTAAGTGGCTGTGGCTGTTATATCGCTCTGTCCCAGCTTACTGCACTGTGGTGCAGGCTTGGTCTTTATTACCCAAGGTCTCTGCTCATTGTTAAGACTGCTGCTGTTTCTGGGCTCTGAGTCTGCTATGCTCTCATGCTTCTGCAGATCCTATCAGTGTTTCTGATTATATCATTTTGTCCTGCTGTTTTTCTGTTGCTTTTTCCAAAGGATTTGTCTTTATTCGCAAAAATTTGTCTTTATTTTAGTTGTAATTTCCATTGATCCTGGGGAATTTTCTGTGTAGCTACTATTAACTTTGCCTCCATTTTCACATTATTTATGCCTATCCTGTGCAAAGCTGGGTTGCACAGGCCTTTCTGGTACCCCTGCACCCTGCAGATTTTGTGGGTAACTGGATCACACAGTTTTTTCTTACATTAAGCTGTATGCCAATGTTATCGGCTGCTGGGTCGCACAGGCCATTCTGGTGCTTCAGCACCCTGCAGGCACTGTGAGTAACTAGATGACACAGTCCCTGTTGGGTCACACAGGACTCTATGGTGCTTCAGCACCCCAGGAGTCCTGCTGGTGATTGCATGACCCATTCCATGTTGGGTTTCCAAGTCCGCTCTGGTGCTTTAGCAACCCACAGGTCCCATGGGTAACTATATTGCAGTCTTTGTTAGGTTGCACTGGCCTCTCTGGTGCTTCAGCACCCTGCAGGCTCCACATATAACTGAAGTTCACTATTCCTGATGGGTCTCAGAGGCCTCTCTGGTCCCCCAGCACCATGCAGTTTCTGCAGGTGGGCCACAGGATTACACTGGTCTCTCTAGGGCTCTGGCTTTCCACTATTTTTGTGAGCTACTGAACCACACATGACTCTGTGGAGCCCCAGGTCCCAAGGCTGGTGGCTGAGGAGTAATGTAGCCCCATGGGGCTCAAATTCAACTCAGCATTTGCTGTAGTTTTTGGATATGGGTTTTAGCTGCAGGTCCATGTTTCTGTTGCCTGGAGATAGATCTCTGCTCCCCAGCTGCTGGGGGTGTGTGTGAACTCTGATAAGGCTGCTACTATGGGGACTGATGCTAGGCTCTGGGCTGTCTGTGCTTTTCCAACAGGCACCTTTGAACCTCCACTACTGTGTACAGGTCTGTGTTGACAAAGAGTGTCCACAGGTGTGCTGATGTGCTTAGGTTATTGGGCCCTAGACTCTTCCAATGTATGCTGCCAGGGAAGATCCCAAATCTTCCAAAATGGTGGGACCTATCCACAGCACAAGAAGAAGCACATTGAAGAGCTGCTTACCCATGGTAGCTGGCTGCTTCCATCCACAGTACAAGAAATTTGCTCCATAACTCTGCACTGCTTGGATTTGGTGGTCCATTTTCATATCACTCACACTCTCTCACACATTCACTCACTTTCTCACACACTCACCCTCTTTCCAGTACTGCCCACTGCCATTTTGTTTATACCACAGTTTTTTAAAATCTATTTTTCTACTAATGAACATTTGGGCTGTTTCCACATCTTAGCTATTGTAAATAGTGCTGATACAAACATAGGAGTACTTATATTTTCTCTGATTGGTGTTTCAAGTTTCTTAGGATATATTCCTAGAAGTAGGATCACAGGGTCAAATGAAAGTTCAACTTTTAATTTTTTGAGGTAACACCATATTGTTTTCCATAGTGGCTACACCAGTCTGCATTCTCACCAGCAGTGTACTAGAGTCTCCTTTTCTCCACACCCTTGCCAACATATGTTGTTGGATGATTTGTTGATGGTGGTCATTCTGACAAGTGTGAGGTGATACCTTATTGTTGTTTAAATTTGCATCTTTCTGATTGATGATTAGTGATGTTGAGCATTTCTTTATATGTCTCTTAGCCATTTATATGTCCTGTTTGGAGAGGTGTCAATTTACTTCCTCTGCTCATTTTTAAATTGGGTTCTTTGTCTTCCTTTTGTTGAGTTGTATGAGCACTCTATGTAAATTGAAAATTAACCCCTTATCTGATATATCCTTGGCAACTATGCTCTCCCATACAGTGGGGTGCCTTTCCATTTTGGTGATTGTATCTTTTGCTGTGTGGAAGCTTTTGAGTTTGATGTGTTCCATATGTTCTTTTTTTTTCATTTGTTTCTGTTGCCTTAGGGGATGTGTCAGTGAAAATTCTGCTGTGTATGATGTCTGGAATTTTGTTGCCTACATTTTATCCTAGAATTTTTATGGATTTATGAATCATATTTTAGTATTTTATCCATTTGGAATTTATTCTTGTGTATGGTGTAAGTTAATGGTCTAGTTTTACATTTTTTTTGCATCTAGCTGTTCAATTTTCCCAATGCCATTTATTAACGAGGCTGTGTTTCTTTACTGGATGCTCTTGCCAACATTTTCAAATATTAATTGAGCATATTGTACAAAATATGGATTGCTTTATGAATTTTTATATCATTTTTGCACAGGGCCATGCTAATCTTTGTATTGTTTCAATTTAATATATGTGTTACTGAAATAAACACTATATTGCCAATTTTTGAAAAAAGCTTTTGCATGACCAGTCATCATCAACAACAAAGGTGGGAATAAAGTGAGGGTGATGGAGAGTACAGTGTCAATAGAAAAAATAGAACAAACATCTTTAACACAAACAAATTATAAAAAAAGAAAAAACCTTTTTGTTTTTCAGATATAAAAAATCTTGTTTTCTTTTATACTACCTATGACTTAAAGCAATTTTGTATGCTATACTATTGTAAACATTATTACAACTTTTTTTTTTATATCTCTTTTCTCTAAGAGTTTGGAGACTCTGAAAAACCATTATTATTTTTATGACATTATGGTTATTAGCATAGTAGTGATTATACAACAGAAAATTTTAAAGACAGGTGTTGTCAGACAATTGTCTTAGTCTGAGGGTAGATTAAGTTCCAAAACTTGATTCTGGTCTACATGTGTAAAGTACTTTAATTATAAAAACTCCAGATGATTGCACTGTGAGAAAAAAAAAAAAGCCATATTTTACTAAAGCAATTAAAACCAGCAAAATTATTAAAGAAACAACAAAACTATACATGTGGCTTATAAACTGCAAATGAGATTTTAGTCAATCACAAGAGAGAGTTGGGTAAGTGTTTGAGATATTATATACCCTATAGGTTACAAAATTTCTTTGCTGAATATTTTCATACAGATTAATTTTCAAGGTTGTCCAATAGCCTGGGGACTGGCGTCAGGCAAAGTGCTCGACCACTGTCTCGCTTGCTCAGCCTTGCCTCCCACCCTGAATGGCCTGCCTCCAGCTTGTAGATTAACTCCCATCTTGCTCTTATCAATTCACATTCCAGAGGCTCCATGCAGAGGCCTCACAGGGCCAAACCCTAAGGGACAAATTCCAGCTACAACGGGCAGATATAAAAGACACAAGCCCCTACATTGAGCGCGGCTTCTAGGACTTGACCCCCGGAGTCTGTGAACCCACCTGGAGTGTACCCAATAAAGCCTGATCCCTGTTTATTTCTCTGATTGGCTCTCCAGTCTCTTCTCTGTTTTATTTGGCAGTGCCCCCGATTCTTTACATCTGGTGCCAAAACTCGGGGGAAGAAATTGGTGACCCGGCCTAACCTGGGGCCGAGAGTCCCCCTCCTCTCCCTGTGCCGCCACCCGTCTTCTGGATTCAGAATCTCCCTTAACCCAGCACCGACTTCGGAGACAGGCTCCGAAACCGTAAGTCATTTCACTCTTTCTCTGGGGTTTTCGGAGCCAGTCTCCAAACCTATTGGAGCCAGGCTCCAAAATCGTTTCGCTTTTTTCTGGGGTTTTGATCTGTCATTCGGGGCTCGGGGCAACCGTCCAAACCTTGGACAAGTCAGGACACCCCCTCCTGTCCACTGGAGTTCCAGGAACTCCCGGTCTGAAGCTGCTTCTAGGGACGCCTGAGGCTTCTTCATGACAACCCTGTCCATTCAGGACAGACATCCGTCAGGGGACGGGTATTCAAAAGGGACACCTTTGGTATGTCCTCTCTCCCAACACTCAAAGCCCCTCTAAACTGTCACCATGGGCTATTCTGAATCAAGATTTGACCATAAGACCCCCCTCGGGTGTCTCCTCAAAAATTTTTCCAAATTGGGATATTCTCAGAGTCTACACAAGGCACCAAAAAAAATTCTGAAGTCCCTTATATTCAGGCTTTGTTGGGTGCACTCCACCCCTCCCCCTCCAGATAATCCCCGCAGTTTTCCTGTTGCTCCCCAAACCCAATCCCACACACCCACGGGGCCACTGTCCTTGCCTCCCTCTTTATTTCCCAGTCTGCCCCTGATATCAGAAAGAAGCTAAAGAAGGTTGAGGAGGGCCCTGAAACTCCCATTCAAGACCTGGTAAAAATGGGCTTTAAGGTTTTTAATGCCCGGGAGGAGATGGCTGAAGCAGCCCACCAGACGAGGCTCCAGCAGAAGGTAAGCCTCCAAACCCAGTCTCTGGTAGCTGCCCTATGGCCAGCAGGAGACCCGAAAAGACACCAGGCCCCAAAGGGAAACCTCGCTCGCCTCCAGGCGCCTGTTTCAAATGCGGCAAGGAAGGCCACTGGGCCAAAGGCTGCCCACAGCCCAGGCCACCTACCAAGCCCTGCCCCCAATGCAAACAAATGGGACACTGGAAGTTGGACTGCCCGACCCTGGCTCAATCCTCAGCACCTCAATGCTGGGTAAATGAGACCCAGGATTTCCCAGCATTGGAGCTACTAGGGTTCATGGACTACTGAGGCAGCCCTGGTTCTGCGACTCCGGTCACCCTCGCCGAGCCTAGGGTCACGCTCCAGGTAGCAGGTAAGTCTATTTCCTTTTTAATAGACACAGGGGCTACCTACTCTGTCCTCCCCTCTGATTCAGGCCTCACTTTTCCTTCCCAGTTCTCGGTTATGGGAATTGATGTGCTCCCTACAACCCCCAAATGAACAGCCCTACTTAACTGCATCTTCGAAGGCCACCCGTTCTCCCATTCTTTTTTAGTAATGCCTGCCTGCCCAGTTCTACCCTTGGGGAGAGATATCTTTTTTTTTTTTTTTTTTTATGAATTTTTATTTATTTTTTTGTTACAGATATTTTACCTTTTTACCCCATTGGCACCCCCCACCCCACCCCACCTCTGCCCCATCCCCGGGTTAGTTGTCCATGTCCATTGGTCATGCATACGTGCATATAAGTTCTGTGGTTTATCTCTTCCCAACCCCCCACCCCCCATCCCCTTTTCTGAGGGATGTCAGTCTGTGCCCTACTTCCATGTGTCTGGGTCTACTGTATTCCTCAGACTGTTATGTTCATTATAATCCGTTTATGAGTGAGATCATGTGGTATTTGTCTTTTTCTGCTTGGCTTCTTTCATTTAGGATAATACTTTCCAGGTCCCTCCATGTCATCTCAAAGCATAAGAGATCTTTTTTTCTTACCACTGCATAGTACTCCATTGCGTATATGTACCACAGCTTTTTTATCCAGTCGTCTACTGGTGGACACTTGGGCTGTTTCCAGATCTTAGCTATTGTATATAGTGCTGCTATGAACATGGGAGTACATATATTCTTCCTGATTGGTGTTTCAGGCTTCTTAGGGTAAATTCCCAGCAGTGGGATCACTGGGTCAAATGGAAGTTTAATTTTTAATTTTTTGAGGTAGCACCATATTGTTTTCCATAGCGGCTGCACCAGTCTGCATTCCCACCAGCAGTGTATTACAGTCCCCTTTTCTCCACACCCTCGCCAACACTTCTTGTTTGATGATTTGTTGATGGCAGCCATTCTGACAGGTGTGAGGTGATACCTCATTGTTGTTTTAATTTGCATCTCTCTGATGATTAGTGATGTTGAGCATTTCTTCATATGTCTCTTGGCCTTTTGTATGTCCTGTTTGGAGAGGTGTCTATTCAGCTCCTCTGCCCATTTTTTAATTGGGTTCTTTGTCTTCCTTTTGTGGAGTTGTATGAGCACTCTCTATATATTGAAAATTAAACCCTTATCTGATACATCATTGGCAATGATGTTCTCCCATACAGTGGGTTGCCTTTCCATTTTGATAATTGTTTCTTTTGCTGTGCAGAAGCTTTTTAGTTTGATGTAGTCCCATGTGTTCATTTTCTCCTTTATTTCTGTTGCTTTAGGTGATGTATCAGTGAAAATTCTACTCCTTATGATGTCCGAAATTTTGTTGCCTACATTTTCTTCTAGAATTTTTATGGATTCATGAGTCACATTTAAGTTTTTTATCCATTTTGAGTTTATTTTTGTGTATGGTGTAATTTGATGGTCTAGTTCCATTTTTTTGCATGTAGCTGTCCAATTTTCCCAACACTATTTATTAAAGAGGCTGTCTTTACTCCACTGTATGCTCTTGCCGCCTTTGTCAAATACTAATTGAGCATATTGCCTTGGGTCCATTTCTGGGTTTTCAGTTCTGTTCCACTGGTCTATATGCCTGTTCTTGTGCCAGTACCAGGCTGTTTTGGTTACAGTCGCTTTGTAGTATAACGTGATATCTGGTATTGTGATCCCCCCTACTTTGTTCTTCTTTTTCAAGATTGCTGTGGCTATTCGGGATCTTTTTTGGTTCCATATGAACTTTTGAAGTATTTGTTCTAGTTCTATGAAATATGTCGTTGGTATTTTGATGGGGATTACATTGAATCTATAGATTGCTTTGGGTAGTATGGACATTTTAATTATGTTATTCTTCCAATCCATGAACAGGGTATGTGCTTCCACTTTTTTATATCTTCCTCTATTTCTTTTTTCAATGACCTGTAGTTTTCTGCAAATAGGTCCTTTACTTCTTTGGTTAAGTTTATTCCTAGGTATCGTAATTTTTTTGGAGCGATGGTAAATGGGATTGTTTTTTCAGTTTCTCTTTCTGTGAGTTCATCATTGGTGTACAAGAATGCCGTCGATTTCTTGACGTTAATTTTGTATCCTGCTACTTTGCCAAATTCATTTATTAAGTTTAATAGATTTTTGATGGAGTCTTTAGGGTTTTCTATGTACAATATCATGTCATCTGCAAATAATGACAGTTTCACTTCCTCCTTATCAATTTGGATCCCTTTTATTTTTTCTTCATGTCTGATTGCTGTGGCTAAGACTTCCAGTACAATGTTAAATAAGAGTGGTGAAAGTGGACATCCCTGTCTTGTTCCTGTTCTTAATGGAAATGTTTTTAGTTTCTGTCCATTGAGTATGATCTTGGCTGTAGGTCTTTCATATATGGCCTTTATTATGTCAAGATATGATCCCTCTATTCCTACATTGCTGAGCGTTTTTATCAGAAATGGATGCTGGATTTTGTCGAATGCTTTTTCAGCATCTATTGATATGATCATGTGGTTTTTATTCTTCATTTTGTTGATGTGGTGTATCACGTTTATTGATTTGCGAATATTGTACCAGCCTTGCATCCCTGGAATGAATCCCACTTGGTCATGGTGAATAATTTTTTTGATGTATTTCTGGATCAGATTTGCTAATATTTTGTTCAGGATTTTGGCGTCTATGTTCATCAGGGATATTGGCCTGTAGTTTTCTTTCTTCGTAGTGTCTTTTTCTGGTTTTGGAATTAGAGTTATGCTGGCCTCAGAGAATGTGTTTGGAAGTCTTCCTTCTTCTTGAATTTTTTGAAATAGTTTCAGGAGAATGGGTGTTAGTTCTTTTTTGAATGTTCAGTAAAACTCCTCCGTGAAACCATCTGGGCCTGGGCTTTTGTTTGCTGAGAGAGTCTTGATTATTTCTTCAATTTCCTTAGTTGTTATTGGTCTGTTCAAGTTTTCTATCTCTTCCGGGAATAGTTTTGGGAGACTGTGTGTTTCTAGAAATTTGTCCATTTCGCTTAGGTTGTCGAATTTGTTGCCATATAGTTGTTCATAGTAGTTGATAACGATCTTTTGTATTTCCGTGGTGTTGGTTGTTACTTCTCCTCTTTGATTTCTGATTTTGTGTATTTGGGTTCTCTCTCTTTGTTTCTTAGTGAGTCTAGCTAAGGGTCCATCAATCTTGTTTATCTTTTCGAAAAACCAGCTCTTTGTTTCATTGATCCTTTGAATTGTTTTTTTTTTGGTCTCTATGTCATTTATTTCTGCTCTGATCTTTACTATTTCCTTCCTTCTACTTGCTCTGGGGTTTTCTTTTTGTTTGCTTTCTAATTCTTTAAGTTGTGAGGTTAGACAGTCAATTAGAATTTTTTCTTGTTTTTTGAGGTAGGCCTGTAGTGCTATGAACTTCCCTCTCAGAACTGCTTTCACTGCATCCCATAGATTTTGTGTTGTTGTGTGTTCAGTTTCATTGGTTTCCAAGAAGTTTTTTATTTCTTCCTTGATCTCGTCGGTGACCCATTCATTGTTTAATAACATGCTATTTAGCCTCCATGTGTTGAAATGTCTTTGCATGTTCTTGTTGCAATTGATTTCTAGTTTCATGCCATTGTGATCTGAGAAGATGCTTGATATGATTTCAATCTTCTTGAACTTGTAGAGATTTAGTTTGTGTCCTATCATGTGGTCTATCTTTGAGAATGTCCCATGTGCACTTGAGAAGAATGTGTATTCTGTAGTTTTGGGGTGTAATTCTCTGTAGATATCTATTAAATTCATTTGGTCTAGTGCTTCATTTAGAGTCTCTGTTTCCTTACTAATTTTTTGCCTAAAGGATCTATCCAGTGCTGTCAACGGTGTGTTGAAGTCCCCTGCTATGATTGTATTGTTGTCGATTTCTCCTTGGAAGTCCTCCAGAAGATTTTTAATATATTTTGGTGCTCCTATATTGGGTGCATATATGTTTATCAAGGTTATATCTTTCTGTTGGATAGATCCTCTCAATATTATGTAGTGGCCGTCTTTGTCTCTAGTTATGGTCTTCATTTTGAAATCTATTTTATCAGATATGAGAATTGCTACCCCAGCTTTTTTTTGCTTTCCATTTGCTTGGAAAATTTTTTTCCATCCCTTCACTTTCAACCTATGTGAGTCTTTTGTTGAGAGGTCGGTCTTTTGTAAACAACATATAGATGAGTCATGCTTTCTTATCCAATCAGCTACTCTGTGTCTCTTTATGGGAGCATTCAATCCATTAACGTTTAAGGTGATTATTGATATGTACTTATTTATTGCCATTTTTGTTTAGTGTGGTTCTATTTTTCTTCCCATTTCTACTGTTAATTACAGCAGTCCTTTTAACATTTCTTGCAGTGCTGCTTTGGTGCTTATGTATTCCCTTAGTCGTTTTTTGTCTGGGAAGCTCTTTATTTGATCTTCTATTTTGAATGATAGCCTTGCTGGGTAGAGTAGTCTTGGATTCAGATTCTTGTTTTTCTTAACTTTGATTACTTCATGCCATTCTCTTCTGGCCTGTAGTGTTTCTTGTGAGAAGTCAGCTGAGAGCCTTATGGGGTTCCCTTTGTAGGTAACCTTTTGCTTCTCTCTTGCTTCTTTTAGGATTCTCTCTTTGTCTTTAATTTGTGGCATTTTAATTACTATGTGTCTTGGTGTGGGCCTGTTTGGGTTCTTCTTACTTGGGACTCTCTGTGCTTCTTGAACTTGAATGCCTTCTTTCTTCACCAAATTAGGGAAGTTTTCTCTCACTATTTATTTGAATATATTCTCTATCCCTTGCTCATTTTCTTCTTCTTCGGGGACTCCTATGATGTGAATATTATTACGTTTCCAGTTGTCCCATAGTTCTCTTAAGCTGTCTTCCTGTTTTTTAATAGTTTTTTCCTTTTGTTTTTCTGATTGGTTGATTTTTTCTACCCTGTCTTCTAATTCACTGATCCGATCCTCAGCTTCTCCTACTCTGCTTTTTAAACCTTCCAATGTGTTTTTCATTTCTGATATGTCATTTTTTATCTCTTCTTGTTGGTTTTTAATTCCAATTGGCTTATTTTCAGTGTCTCTATGTCCTTACTCATGCTGTTCAGCTTCCTCAAGATCATGGCTCTGAATTCTAGCTCTGTTAACATGCCTAATTGCTCCACATTGATCTCATCTTCGGTGGAGGTGTCTTGCTCTTTCATTTGGCTTCTGTTTCTGTGTTTCACCATTTTGGCTATCACTGTGGGCTTTGGAGGCTGTCAAGTTCTCTCTGTGGGTGGTGTTCTGCTGTTTGTGGCTCCCTCTCCTGTGTTTAGATGAGCGAGGGAGGACCCACATTGAACACCACTGTCAAGTCTTACTTTCCTGGTTAAAGTTGCCAGCCCAGGAAATGTACTGTTATCTTCTAGCTTTTTGCCTGGAGGCTAGCAGTTTAGGTTACTTGATGAGTTTTGGGTTGTCAGTTGATTGAAAAACTCCCTCTGGTTCTCAGCCAAGGGGCTTTCACGACTGTGGGGCAGATGCTGGTTGTTAGTGAGCCTCAATTAGCACTTCAATGGCCCACAGGGTGGGGTTGGATCTCCAAGGGAGGGGCTGCTGCCTCTCCTCAGAGCCCTGGGAAGGAGCAATGTGGCCACCGTCCTGAGTGGCTGCACTCAGCCAAAGCTCGGAGCGCCCTCCAAACCCCGAGTGTCCTGACTCAGTTCCAGTCCAGACTGCCCTTCCTCTGCCAGAGCCCAAGGTGAGTGGCTGTGGCTGTTTCTGCCTCTGTCCCGGCTCTACGCTGTGGGGCCGCCTGGGAGTGTAACCCCGGCTGAGGCTGCTGCCAAGCTGCCGACCGTGGACTCCCTGCTCCCATCTCGCGCCTTCGCAAACCTACCAGGATGGAGTCAGTGTCCCTCGTTGTATGGTCCTCACAAGCTGCTTTTCTGTTGGTTTTTTCCGTCGATTTGTCTGTGTTATAGTTGTAATTCCAGTTTGGTTCTGGGAGACGGTCTGTGTAGCTCCGCTCACTCCGCTGCCATTTTTCGGTTCTTCGAGAGATATCTTATCTAAACTTCATACCACCATCTCTTTTCTCCCCCAGCAGCTGCATCCAATAGACACCCCCTTGGTTGCCTCACATCACGTCCCCATCCTCATCAAATTAAAAAACCCATCATCTTACCCCAATCACCCCCAATTTTCCATCTCTTAGGCTCACCGACTAGGACTACACCCCATTATATATAAACTCAGAAGCCAGGGCCTCCTCATTCCTACCAACTCACCCTGTAATTCCCCCATTGTGCCTGTTAAGAAATTATCAGGGCAGTACCGCCTTGTCCAAGACCTTCGCATAATTAATTCAGCAGTCATACCCATCTCCCCTGTAGTCCCAAACCCCTACACCCTCCTCTCTCATATTCCCCCCGATACTAATCATTTCTTGGTTCTTGACCTAAAGAATGCCTTCTTTACCATCCCGCTACATCCTGATTCCTATTTTCTCTTTGCTTTCACCTGGGAAGATTCGGTCTCCAATATTTCCCAACAATTAACATGGACTGTCCTCCCTCAAGGATTCTGAGACAGTCCGAACCTCTTTGGTCAGGCTCTTGCTCAGGACTTCAGGGAATGTGATCTGTCCCCATCCACTCTTCTCCAATATGTAGACAATCTTCTCATCTGCTCCCCCTCTGAAGGAGATAATATCTCAGCCACCACCGCTCTCCTCAATTTTCTTTACACAAAGGGTTACTGGGTGTCTGCACAGAATGCCCAGATCATGACTCCCTTGGTGACCTATCTAGGGTTCTTGTCACTCCAACACACCGGGCAATCACCTCTGACAGGTTGCAGGCCCTTAGGGACTTACAGCCCCCGACGTCAGAAATTCAGTCCTTTCTTGGGCTTATGGGGTTCTTCAGGCACTGGATCCCCAATTTCACCCTCCTAGCCAGACCACTTTACCAGGCAGCCAGAGAAACCCCCGAGGGACCCCTGACCTCCCCTAAGGAGGTCCGCCGGGCTTTCCAGACCCTCCTTGAGGCTTTGTGCTCTGCCTCAGCTCTTGCTCTTTCCAATCCCCAATGACCTTTTCTCCTCTATACAGACGAAAACATCACTTAGCCATAGGGGTCCTAGTTCAACCACTCGGCCCCACCCTGGTCCCTGTTGCTTACCTCTCAAAGCAGCTGGACCCCACTGTTCATGGATGGCAGCCTTCCTCCGGGCCCTTGCAGCAGTGGCAGAACTCACCATGGAGGCACTAAAGATCAACCGGCAATAGCCTCTCCAGGTTTTCTCCCCCCACCGCCTTACCAACCTCCTCTCACATGAGGCCCTGGCCCACCTTGGGCCCTCTAGACTTCAATTATACCATTTACTCTTAATAGCAGGCTCCTATACTTCTCAATACTCAGCCAAAGAATTAAAGTCTATTTAGGCTTCTCCCGGGGTCCACTTCGAGGATAGATGGGCCTTTCAAGATGAGCTCCTAATTCTTCCAGATGCCCAAAGACTGCAAATACTGTCGGAGATCCACAAGTCTCTCCACATAGGCCCCGAAGCCCTTCACCAATTCTTATCTCCAATCCTCCACCCCAACAAACTCTGGCCGGCTATCCAGGCTGCACATGCCACATGTTCTGTTTGTTCCAGGTCCAACAGCCAAGGAGCTTGCCATGTGCAAAGGCCCCTACCCCAAATGCAGGGTCACCTGCCAGGACAAGACTGGCAGATAGACTTCACTCATATGTCTAAACACAAACAACTAAAATATCTTTTAACCATGGTTAATACTTTTTCAGGTTGGATCGAAGCCTCCCTAGTGCCTCAGAGACTGCAGAAACCATACCAACTCACCTACTGAAAAACATCAGCCCTCGCTTCGGGCTGCCAAACTCCATACAATCAGACAACAAGCCGGCTTTCATCTCCAAGGTCACTGAAGCGGTCTAGGTCTCTCTTGGCATCAAATGGAAACTACATGCGTCCTATCACCCCCAGTCCTCGGGTAAGGTTGAGTGGGCCAACAGCCTCATCAAGGAACATCTAACAAAACTCAGCCCAGAACTCTGACAGTCCTGGCCTGACCTGCTACCACTGGCCCTTACCCGTCTTTGAGCCATGCCTCGGGGACCCTCTCACCTCAGTCCTTTTGAACTTCTATATGGAAGACCCTTCTTCCTTCCTACTCTGTCTATAGACTCCCCACCCCCTCTGGCCTCATACCTGCCCTACCTCTCCCTTCTTCACTCCCTCCTCTGAGAACACACTAAACGTACCCTTCCTAAACCTGGACCTGACCTGAAATCGAAGCTCTCCTAACCCATTTCACCCGGAGGCTGGGTACTAATCAAGACCCTCTCTCCCCGACCCCTACACTCTAAATGGGAGGGACTGTACACCATGGTTCTGACTACTCCCTCTGCAGTTATGGTGTTGGGGATCTCCACCTGGATCCATCTGTCTAGGATAAAGAAAGCCCTGATTCCAGAAGAGCAACCAGTCCCTGAGCCTCACTTCACCTGCACTCCATTAGGGCTGACCAAAATCAAAATATACAAGACACCCTAATTGTATCATCCACGATAAGTCATTATGATTCTGCACCATGGTTCTGACTACTCCCTCTGCAGTTATGGTGTTGGGGATCTCCACCTGGATCCATCTGTCTAGGATAAAGAAAGCCCTGATTCCAGAAGAGCAACCAGTCCCTGAGCCTCACTTCACCTGCACTCCATTAGGGCTGACCAAAATCAAAATATACAAGACACCCTAATTGTATCATCCACGATAAGTCATTATGATTCTGCTAGACATCTTTCTGACTCTGGGCCTCGCCCCTGGTTGCCCACTCATTCTTGCCACCTTCTCTCCTTTGCTTCTGGAATCCTCCCATTTTTTTTGTACCCTGAATTTGACCCAACACCTCCTCTATAAGGCCAACTCCTCCACATTTGTGCCTGACTGTTGGGTCTGCCTATCCCTGTCCTTTTCAGCCAACTCTGCCATATGTGTGGGTCCACCACCTATATGCATCTCCCCACTAACTGGACCGGCACCTGCACCTTGGTATATCTCAAACCCAACATCAATATAGTCCCCCAGGATGCCTCTCTGCCTGTTCCCGACATCACCCTGATTAAAAGCACAACCCATTCGGGAAAGGTGAGATCAATTTTGGAGCACCTGGTTCAATTCCAACTAGGCACACTGGGTTTTGCCGCTTATGGGTCCCCTACCTGTCCTTTTTCTAGCCCTAGCCTTTGAACCCTGACTCCTGCGACTGCTCTCCTCCCTAGTACAAAATCAACTGAAAGCCTTCACCAGCTAGATGGTGCACGAGATCATGATGCTAAGGCAATTTGAACTTCTCACCAGATGCTCAGGCCCGGATCATGCCGACATGGGCCCCCTCCGCTAACGCTGCCCCTGTCCAGCAAGAAGTAGCCAGAAAGATACCTCTGCCTTTTTGTCATTATCACAGAGTCAGGAATGTCTAATAGCCTGGGGACTGGCACCAGGCAAAGTGCTCGACCATTGTCTCCTTGCTTAACCTTGCCTCCAACCCTGAAGGGCCTGCCTCCAGCTTGTAGATTAACTCCCATCTTGCTCTTATCAATTCACATTCCAGAGCCTCCATGCATAGCCCCCACAGGGCAAAACCCTAAGGGACAAATTCCAGCTACTACAGGCAGATATAAAAGACATAAGCCCCTACATTGAGCGCAGCTTCTAGGACCCCCAGAGTCTGTGAACCGACCCAGAGTGCACCCTATAAAGCCTGATCCCTGTTTATTTGGCTGATTGGCTCTCCAGTCTCTTCTCTGTTTTATTCAGCAGCTCCCCTGATTCCTTACAAAGGTCTCTATTTATTTCGTTGTGGTCTTCCTGAAATTCACAAAAAGCACCTGTCAATTTTATCTGGTCAAGCCTCTAGACTTTTTCAGCTTAAAAAGTAAAAGATAAAACTGCCTTTTTTTCTTTCTTCTTCCCCCAAACAACTTATTCATTTGTTTACTGATGGAGAAAATCTGTCTCCTTATTACCCCCTTTCCTGCACTTTTTTTTTTTTTTTATTATTTGCTCTCAATTGTACTTGGCTGGGTAAGATAATATTTTGTTATTTGCAGGCCAGCTGCAAATTGCTCACACTGTTTAGCTTGTTTTAACTTTCCAACCTCAGTTTCCCTGTTCCTCCTGCCCTGGAAGTGTCCTAGATTTTTCAACACAGTGACAATAGGAACATGTTCTTTTTATAACAGGACACAACTAGAAATTTTTTTATTAAAAATTTTACTGGAATATTATATTTGAGAAAGATACACATAGACTAGATGTCACCAGAAAACAAGAAAATTAGAATTGATCTTGAAAACTGATAAAAAAAAAAAACACACATCTTAAAAATGTCCTAGTATTTAATTTTATAATTTATAGTAGTATTTTTAGGTAAAGAACAAAGATTGCTCACCTGCAGATGGTAAAGGAATAACCTCAAGACATTTTTGGGAACCTTGAAAATCTGAGAAATCTACTTAAATTAGTAGGTATCACAGAAAAGCTAATAATGATAACTGCATGCCTTGACTTTTTAACACTGACATTCTAATTATGTTTTAAAAAATTTATTAAATTTTAGCTACTATCATTTACTATCCTTGTTGAACTTATGCAAATAAAAGGCCAAATTTATAAAAACAAGTACAGAGGTGAAGGTCTGGTGGATTCAAAAAATTTAATTTTAAGATATGCATTCTCATGACTTGACCAGCCAAGGATCAAAGTATGCATGTGAATAAATAAGGAATGCATAAATATGTGTTGGGATGCCACCCTGGGTGCAAAGTGTATGTGTGAATAGATAAGGTATATGTAAATTGAGTTTGGAAAGCCACCCTGAGAGTGACAATGTGTGATATGCCCAAGTGTAAATGTATTTGCTATGTATATCTTATGTATCACTACTGAAAACAGTTAGAGACAGAAAATATGCTTGGATTGGTTGTTAGGTGAGCAGAGATGCAATCTCAAGAACTTATTTACTTAAAACACCATGTGACCTAGGAAACCACTATGTAAATAAACTGGTCTGCATCCAGAAATCTGAAGCATTTGCCAGGTCAACAACCTGTGCATGAATTTGCAGTGCTGTCCCTCACTCTAAGGAGTGTCTGCTTGTACTTAAATGTCTTTTGACAACCCTCAGCAAGGTGAGAGAGTCAGATGTGACTGTTAGAGCAACATAACAGTATTTAAAAGAAAATTAAAGATTTAGTGAGCACATTTGATTCTGACATGTTTCAAAGTGGAGAAAATATTTAGGATATGCATGAATGTGAGTGAGGTGTAATATTTCTGCGTTGACCCTTCTTTTATAGAAACTGGTGATTACAGCATTGCAGACCCTAATAAAAAAAATCAGTCCTAGCAGTGAAGCACCTCTAATCTTGCCTTTGCAGGGGACTCCAAAATCAACTCCCTCTCAGTGATTATAAAAAAAAAATTCTTTTTTTTATCCTTCACCTTTTGTGAAGGATTCCCCAGCTATGAAGATCTGTCTTAGAGAAGGTACAAAAGCTAGAGATTTTGGTGTTTTCTCAATATTATCCTGCCAGTTCAACAACCTATGCATGAATGTTTGCCCTATTAGGTTATGAAAGAATTTAGGAGTAGCATAATAAAAAAAAATGGTTTACAAAATGTATTTTTTATAAATAAATTAGAGGAAGTAGTTGCTATCAGATGACTCCCTGGGATTGAGTGGCACTCATAAAAACAGTGCTTATTTTAGCCCAATTTGCTGTGTAAATCAGAAAGGAGCCACACTACAAACAATAAAAAATCTTGGAGCAGAGATTTTTATTGGGCAAGACATGTCACTAGGTCCAAAACCTTTTAGATTCTCGAGTTCAGATGCGGCAGAATAATAAATTGTTTTGTCAGGCCTCAAATTTAGCTACTAAAGCTTGGCACAGGGTTTCATAGCCTAGAAAAAAAAGAAGCTCTTTTACTATTATTAGGCAAGAAGCACAGAAAACTTATGTTTTGTTCATTAATCAGTTGCAAGCAGCAGTAAGTAGATAGGTTAATAATACAAAAGTAGAAGATATATTATTATTACAATTGGTCTATGAGAATGCTAACACAAATTGTCAGGCTGTACTTGCTCTCTGAAGAAAAAAACCTCAAAGATAAGGGAACATATAAAAGCATGTCAGAATGTAGGGGCACAAATGAATTAGTCCAGTGCATTAGCTACTATTCTCAAAATGTTGCAAATTGACTCAAAAAAAAAAAAAAAAACCACAAACAAACAAACAAAAAAATCAACTTGGGCCTGCATTATGATTTAATTGTAGCAAGCCAGGGCATTTTTAGAAGAAATGTAGAAAAAGAAAGGTTGGCCCCAGTGGCATTACTTCTAAGCCTTGTCCTCGATGTGTCAAAGGGCTGCATTTGGCTAATCAATGTAAATCTAAATTTGATAAAATTGGTAATCCCTTGCTGGGAAATGGGTGAAGGGGAACAAGACCCAGCACACTGAAAGCTTTCTATGTTTCTCAAACTCAAGCTTTTCTCAGTCACTCAATTTGATGACCTCCGAGTATCAACAGCAAGAAGCCTGGCCTAGACCTTATTACTACCACATTTTAGAAGTCTAATATTACTTATCTAGCTCTGACTGGAGTTTATGGCCCTTTACTGGAAACAAAGATGAGTTTAGGATTGATAGATCTAGTTTAACAATGAAAACAATAAAAGTGATGCCAGGGGTAATTGACTCAGATTTTAAAGGAGACGTTAAAGTGAAGCTTAAGAATGATCTCCAAGAAGAAGAAAGTGGTGGCATTGTAAATGAAAGATACACAAACAATTTCCCAAAAACTAAACAAGTATAAAAACTAAAATAAAGACATATCATGAAAAAAAAAAAAAAAAAGCAACAGAACAGCAGCAGGAGAAGACCATATAACCAGGGACACTGGTAGGGTGTGCAGAGGTGTAAGA